CAGAAAAGGACAAACCCTCAATACCGCCCCAGGCCTACCCTCTCAAAGATCACACCACACACCTTGTGTAACCCTTGCAGGGAGGGACTCCAACCCTTTTTTTTTTTTTTTTTTTTTTTTTTAACACMCCCCCCGTCAGTGTTAGTGCTGCTGATAAGAGCAGACACCACTAACACCTGGGGAGAGGCTCCATCTATTGGTGGGGAGCGTCACCTGCTGGAAAGCGGGTCCAGCGTCCCTTATACAAAATCTGAGAATGAGTAAGCACCGTGATTGTGAGCCCTGCCAGCATTGATTGCCCTGTCTWCAGRGGATTTACTGAGCAGGTGTTGTGAAAATCATCGTAATGTAGCCCTTWTCTCCCGTATCTCTTCACCCCCAGGGCGCCAGATCTCTCAATATGCACTGATACCTCTTCAGGAGATTGTAACACTGTTTGGTTAGAAGGAAAACTCCCTGGGGGGCTCCAGAAGAGAGTTCCTTATGCTCCTCCCCCACTGTCCAACCCCAATTAGCCATACCATGCTTCATCTACAATTGCCAGGGCACTCGGGGGGAAGAGGTCCGGAAAGTCGTGTGGGGGGCGAAGGGGCTCCGTCGGGTCTAGGACTGTCCAGTTGTTGAAGACCACCTTACAATCCCTGTGAAGTGTTTCTTTTTTCGGGTTGTCTGTTCTTAACTCGGTCCCCTTGTTCCTCCCCTCCCAACTCACCGACGCTATCCATCCCCCTTGTTCACTCCCCAACCATTCCTTGCTGAAGGTTTCAATTTTCTTTTGTATCTCTGCGGTGTCGCTCAGGGGAGCCAATTGCCCCTCTAGCACCTGCCATCTCATTAGCAATTTTGTTTGTATATGCGATTTCATTTGCTCTGTCACTTCCGGACCTTCCACCCTTGCCTTGTTTATGGCCAGTGCACATCTTTTCCACCACAACGCCCATAGTATGGCTCGTCTGCCCAACTGGAACATATTGGTTCTGAAATCACAGGACTGGCCATGAGGCCAATGCCCTGTGAGTATCGCCCTCCATTCCCAGGGCCAGTCCTCGTCTCCTACCGTTTGCCTCCATATTCGATCCCACCAACGCCAGGTGAGGATTGCCCCCGGGCACTGCAAAAAAATGTGTTCTATGGTTTCTGGTATATTTCTATGGGGGAAGTTTTGCAGACAGCTAGGACACCACGGGGCCGCAAGCCCCTTCTGTTCTAAACGGGTGTGATCTATCAGCCAGTTTTGGGTGGGAAGGCATCTGTGCGCAATCTGCCATTGCAGAGATGTAATCTTCGTCGGTTTTTTCTTGGTTTCCTGGAACCACCGGATTGTAGGTACATTAAGGTGCTTTCCCCACCTTTCATTGATGCTGTCCACCAACTGTTTCTTTGGGCGGAGCATCCGGTAGGCGGATTTAGCTGAAAGTTTGTGTAGGAACAAGATTTTTCTGGTTCCCTTCGGGAAAGATTTCGAGGGGGTCCAACCCCAGTTCAGCAGGTCGAAGGGAAGCATGGCGATTGAGGTTTCTGGTCGGAACGCCAGCCTTTCTTGTCCATCCTCTAACACCCAGATTCTAAAAATCTGGTTTCTTGCCATCCACTGAAACGGGTCGCTGCATCCCTCTAGCCGGCATCGTCCGCTTACTGTATAAAGTTCGATGAGTGCATCCTCCTAACGGAGCTCATGAATCAGGCCAACCCATCCCCTCTTCTCGGCTATCGCCACCCAGTCCCCCTCCTGGAGTTTAGGTCCTTTCTTGAGAATACGGTACCAGTCRAGTGGGAYGGAAAAGATCAACTCGTCCAAGCGGTCCTCCCTTGCACGGGCATATTTGAGTTGATCTTTAAGTTGCTCCTCTGTTTTCCAATCCCGCTCTTGGTCGTCCCACAGGTCCCCAATTCTAGTAATCCCTTTTTGCACCCAGTTTTTCCAGGGCGCCACTGTGCTGTGGAGGACCCGGCCGCTCGTGTCAGTGACCCATCTATTGCCAAATAAGGGTTGTCTGTAGACCTCTTCCCATCTGTCCGGGGCTCGTTTATCCGGCAGGGGCAATCTCCTCCAGTTTTTTATGAGTCCCGGCCAGAACGTATCTCGCAATCTGCCCCGAAGTCGTGGAAGGGCCCAGTATCTACCTTCCAGCCATAGCAGGGGATCAACAGAAGAGGGTGTTTTGGGAGCTAAGCTTCTAATGCAGTCCAATGCAAGCTCGCTCCATGGAGAGTGTGGTTCCATTATGAGCTTTTGAATCCATTTTAGGCTGAGTGCTGCTGTCTGTGTGGGCGGGTCTATAATACCTAGCCCTCCTTGGGCTTTGGGCTGAATGACCGAATCCCATGCCACCCGACTGATGGATGTTGGGGATTCGTGGTCTCCTCTCCATAGAAAGGCCGCCATCTGCCTGCGTAATATTTTCTGCGCTTCCTTGCTAAGGGGCCAGATTAAAGATTTATACCACAGAGCAGCTAGCACCACGTTGTTTATTACTAAGGCCCGTCCGAACAGTGAGGTGTGTTTCCCTTTCCATGCCATCATTTTTTGGAGGGCCGGACCGATGAGCCATTCGTCATTTGAGAGCGGGCGACCTTCTACTGTCATTTGGACTCCTAGGACTCGGACCGGTGTTTCCATGTCCAGCTAGTGAACTTTGGGTTCTTCGGGTGGCCTCCCTCCCTGAGAGTGTATCCACCATCCTTGGGTTTTACTTCCCCAGTTGACGGCCATGTCAGATACTTGGCAAAAATTATCCATCATCTTGCGGATTTCCTCCATGTTTTCCCACGTGGCATCTACCATTATGGTTAGGTCGTCCGCAAAGAGGAAGCAAATCGGAAGTGCTTTCTCGGGTATGGTTGTTATCCGAATCTTTCTCAGGTGCTTGTGGTGTCTTATGTTTGCAGCCAAGGCCTCCATTATTATCACAAAGAGAAAAGGCGCAAGAGGGTCCCCTTGTCTCACTGAACGGGTCAGGCGGATCTCTGGTGCAAGGCAGCCGTTGATTTGCACACTTGTGGACGCATTGCTGTGTAGAATTGACACCCATTTCCTAAAGACCGGGCCAATGTTCATCTTGTTGAGACACCTGTCCAGAAAGAACCAGTCGACATGGTCGTATGCCTTTTCAAAGTCGATAAAGATTATGGCCGCATTTTGATTGTTTTGTTTGGTTAGCCTCAAGACTTCATTGACTAAGAGGATGTTTTCTTGGATATTCCTGTTCTGAATTAAGGCAGTTTGAGCTGGGTGGATGATGTCCTCCATCACGGGGATCAGTCGGTTTGCCAGGCTCTTAGCCAACATCTTATAGACCACTGTCAGGAGCGTTATCGGTCTATAGTTTCTGATGTTAAGCTTGTCTCTTTTTTTTGTACAGCAAGGCTAAGACCCCCTGTCCCACCAATTCCCCCATCTCCCCTGTCTGCCAGACTTGGCGGTAGTATGTCATGAGGTCCTCATCCAGAGTGTTCCACATGGTCTCCCAGAACTCCTTCAGGAGGCCGTCGATTCTGGGTGTTTTCTCTTCCTCCATCTGCGTCAACGCTGTCCATATTTCGTCTCTGGAGAGGGACCCCTCAAGATTGTCCCTTTGTTGTTGGGAGAGACAGTGTTGGAGAGGTTCAAAAAAGTCTTCTACTGCGTTGATGTGCTCTTCCCGCTCGCGGTTCCCAATGTGGGATGAGAACAGGTCCTTATAAAAATCCCTTGCGATCTTGACACACTGTGGAGTGGAGAGACTCGATGGCTCTTCTTGCGCCCAGGGGTTCATAAGTCCTATCGTTGTTCTTCTTGTTCTGATTCTGACCATACTGAAGAAGTGGGAGTTCATTGATGCCTCTGTCCGGTGCTTTGTCAGTTTTCCCCTAATACGTGTTCCATTCCAACGGTGTTTTGCAAAGTCTAGAAGTTGGTCTTTCAGCAGTGATATCTGCGTGATCTGGTCGTCTGATTGTGTGTAGTCTTCCAACTGTTGGATTTGTTTTAGCAGTGTCATTTCTTGTTGGTTTTTGTGTGGCGCTATGAGTTTGGAATAGTCTTTGCATTTTTTTGCTAGAAAGAATAAGCCGTTATTAAACCATGTTAATTCAGAGCCTATTATGTCCTTTTTTGTTCGCCAATAAGACCACACATCCGCTAAGTAACATTTGAACCAATTATTTTTTAGTAGAGAGGTATTTAATTTGTAAAAGTCTGGCCCTTGATCCGGTCTCTTCCTGAAAGTCAGTGTAATCATGCATGTTCTATGATCAAGACCTGTGAACGGACTGGGGGGCAGGATCGCCGCTATTTGGAGGGCCCCCTCGAGGTCCTTTGAGATAAGGATCAAGTGTATTCTCGATCTGGTCAGTCTGGACGTGGCGTTGATCCGGTGGCATGTGAATACTTTCTCATTAGGGTGGAGACGTCGAAACGTATCATAGGTCCCTAATGAGTCGCAAAGGTCCTTGACGATCTTTTCGTCGTCCTTCATGTACCATGGACACGGGGTGGGAGGTTGCCATTTGTCCAGCCCCCTATCCGGAGCTGCATTATAGTCACCTGCCAGAATTATCGGAACCCCAGCCGGCAGATGCTCTTTTAGTTTTCCAAAAAACTCCTTTCTTTCCCGAACAACATTTGGGGCTTAGAGGCATACCACGCATATGAGCTCTAACTCTAGCATCACCAGCGTTGAGATCCACCTACCTTCCGTTGGATCTACCTCTGAGTAAACCACTTCCGCCCGTGATCCCGGTGGGACCCATATGGCCACCCCCGCGCTCCCGGGGCCGGGGGCAAACGCCTGGATTTTTTGGTATGGCCATACCGTTCTGTGCGCACGCTGATGCTCCGGCTTGTCCATGGTATGGGTTTCCTGCACACAGATCAGGTCTGACCATGTTTTGCCTCCCACCCCCCTCAACCGGTCCTAGATCGCTTGTTTTTTGTCGTGATTAGTGGATGCAATTCCATTCACATTAATGGACCGCAGATCAAGATCTGCCGCTTCCAATATGTGCTTCCAGTGCTTGTTCCTTTGGTATACAACCTCAATGAGATCCATAAGGTGGAGGAGGCTTCCTACAAACGCTCCCAGAACGTCCCTTCCCAGTTGACCGTGTTTAGTAGTATACCCTGTTTCAAGATGGAGCACAATATCGTCATCAGGTCCCGCTCTGACCATATTTTACTTGGTTTTACCTTCAGGATCTGCAGTTCTAACAGTTCCTGGTGTATGTACCATCTCATTCCAGCTTCCTTGGTGGCGTCAAATTTAACATACAAGTCTTTACCAGCCACTCTGTGCGGTTGGGATGCCACTGTGTATGTTGCGCAGGCCCCCGGTTCATATTTTCTGGCTATGAATTCTCTGGCTGTACGTTCATATAGTGCCTGGGCTACCTGATACCCCATCCAGTTCCCTTCCTTCAGCCACCCCTGCAGCGTGACGCCACCGTATTTGTCGTCTCCCGCTGCCTTGGTCATGCCCGCTTGCCATTTTCCTTCCTTCTTTCTAATTGGAAGGACCAGGACGCCCTCGATGGACAACTTCTGCTCGTGCTGTCCTTTCTCCACCAGGTGCCTCAGTCGCATCCGCTTCGTAGTCGTTTCTTCCTCTGCCCTTTCCACAGTCTCTACCATTTCTGGTGTCGTCCCCCGGTCCCCATCTTTTTGCTTCCCTTCCCTCTCCCCTAATGGTTCTGGGGCCTGCGAGGGGACCGATGTATGGGGTGACGAGGCCTGTTGTGATTCTTCTGCAGGTCCGTTTTTCCTTCCATCGGTCTGTGGGCATGAAAATCCCGCTTGGATTTTGGACAGAATCTTTTCCATGAAAACGGCCCAGGGGATATCCTGTGGTGCCCTGTTTTCCAGAATTCCTTTTAGGCTGGAGCTTGAGTCCAGCAGTTCGAAGAGTTCTATGAAGGAGTTATCCCAGAATTTTGTTGTCTGTCCCGGGTGACTCTCCTGCAAACGCAAAATTAGCCAGTCTGTTAGTGCCATCAGCTTTGTCTCCGTTGTAGTCTGGGGTTGTGCTGCTGTGCCCTCTGTGTGCTCAGCCCCCCCCCCTGAGCTTTTTGCGCTGTCGCTGTTGCGCTCATCAGTTCCTTCTGGGGGGCACTCGGACATGATCACGTCCCGGGGGGGGGGGAGGGGCGCGGAGTGTGTTGGGGGGGAGGCATCCCAGTCCATTGGGCCAAAACCGAGAACCTCCTTGAATGGATCTCGGTTTTCTGCCGAATTTTCCTGTTCCTTCGATTCCTTGGATTTCTCAGCCGATTCCTCAGCCCAGTTCTGGTTCTGGTTCTCCCCCTCTGCAGTTCCCAGCTCTTCGTTTTGGGTCTTTTGGTCGTTTTTGTTATTTTTTCTCATTTTCTTCTTGGTCTGCCTCAGGTCTATCAGGCCTGCAATGCCGTCCCCCCCACCTTCCCCTTTCTCCTCCTCGTCCCCTGTTTTCACATCAAGTGGCCCGAACCTGTTTTCTGTACTGATCTGCCTCGTTAACCCTCCCTCCATCTGGCCAGGCCCCCCCTGGTCGGGCAACTTTTGAGACAGCTGCTTGGGAAGTTCTCCATCCTTTTGACAAGAATCCCCTTGGTCCGGCTTCTCTCGAGAGAGGTCCGTCGTGCTGATATCCATATACTGCTCCGGGTTCGGTTCATTCTCCTTTCCTTTTTCCCCAGCCCTGTCATCGTGCACCGTCTGTTCCCCTTTTCCTTGTGCTGCCTGCGACCCCGAGCTCTTCTCGGATGTGCCTGTTGAGGCTCTCATGTGCGCCTCTACCGGTTTCGGAGGGACCCACTCCTCGGGGGGTTTAGTGCCCCATTCTGGTTCCGTTTGCCTCTCCCAGACCCACCCCCTTTTCTTCCCATCCTCCTCCTGGTCTATGAATACCCAGCCTTCATGTTCAGGGTCCACTGTTCTCCAACTATCAATTTTGAAGGGGTCCCGAGTTAATCTCCCTGTGATCCTTGCTTTCCTGCCTGGGTGCTGCGGGCAGGCCTGTTCGGTGCATAGGTGGCCGTAGGCCTTACATTTCATGCACCAGGGTCGGAGTTTGTGCGCGGTGTAGATCTTGTATTCGTGATCGCCCACCCAGTAAGGTATCACATCGTCCCTTCGCGTCGCATAGCTCGGAAGGGGGTCTATGAAGTCAACAATCTCGAATTTCTCCCCAAAGTCCTGAACAAACGCCGCTTGGATTTCAATGGGATGTGACGAAATTCGACCCAAAAGTAGTCCGTCATCAGTCTGTCTCTCCTCTCCTCCGGCGTGGCATGTTTTTGGGGGGACCATGGGTAAAGACGGACCTCGGATCTATCACAGCGTATGTTCCTCCAACTGTCCATCGTTTTTTTATCTTCTTTGCACATACTAAGCACTGTGAAAATTGTTTTCGAGACCGGTTGGATGAGCAATGACTCTGCCGCAGTTCGTTTCCTTTTAACGCCCCCAGTTTCCTCCTAATCCATCCAATCTTGTCGTTCGTGGGCTTATAACTCGCATCATCATGAAACACCCAGTTAGTTGCATGCTCTGTGTAGGTCCTGTCCCTCACCTCCAGTCCCGCTTCCGGGAGGTGTGTGATCATGATTTCCCCCCCCCCTTGCTCCCTCACCGACTTCTCCGAAGCCGTGAGGAGCTTTGTCATACAAAACGCACCCGCTGATGTCAGCCCACCCAAAGGGATCGCCAAGTTCTCGTTGTTTGACCCACCCCCGGACTGCCTTTTGATGTTTAACTTCTCCTGGCTGAAGGGCCTCTTGACTCTCTGTGCCCAGGTGCGTGCTTCAGCTCCTTGCAGGTTCTGCTGCGGACGAGATTGTCCTTGACCGGCATCCGTTGCTCCCATCTGTTGGGGCTGTCAACCCTAAAGGGGATATTCCATTCAACACCTCTGACCCCGATCCCACAACATCATGGACTGAGGCTCAATTGCTGAGAACAACAAAATAAGACCAATTACTTGAGAGAGAGAGAGAGAGAGAGAGAGAGAGAGAGAGAGAGAGAGAGAGAGAGAGAGAGAGAGAGAGAGGGGGGGGGGGAGAGAGAGGGCGAACACACAAAGAGACAGAGAGACGAAGAAAAAGGGATGAGAGAGAAAAGACGCGAGAGAGAGAGAAAGAAGGATGATGATGATGATGGTGTGAGGGCACATACCTGGTATTGGCGATGGCCTGCATTGGTCGACATCTTCAAATACTTTGTTTGGTTGTTGACGTCAACAGTTGCATTGTCAATTAGTAGGCGGGAAGTAGCCGTATAGGAAGTAGGCTGGGAGCCAAGTAGGGAGAAGGGCCTGGACACGTATATTGGTGGTGGCGGGAGCAAGCTCTCGTTCACATTTGGTCTTCAATGTTACGATTCTTAATTGATGTCATATTGGTGCGCCGCTCCTTTCTGGACACAGTGATACTTTCTGGCATTCGATATGATTGTGCATACTGGATATTGTCATCTTACCATTTCACATATCTCTTTGCGAGCTATTATTATTATTGTTATTATTATTATTATTATTATTATCATAGTAGTGGTTGATATTATTTTCGTAATTTAGTTACAATCACAGAGAGCAGAGGGATGGGTTGAGCAACATGCAGGGATCACGCAATAAGAAGAAGGATGAGTCACATCGGAGCTGAAAGAAATGTTGAGGTGCACATCAAGCAGCCAAAATGTGGCGCTCTTTTCACAAAACGTCAGAGTGCGCATGCGTACCAATGTACACAGGAACAGACATAAACTCAAAAACACTGTGAAAATAAGGATAAACAAAGTGGGTTATGCCAGACGCATGACCAAATACGGACAGGACTCATAGGAACAAGGCCTATCAGCTACTTCTGGGCAATATGACAAGTATTTATCCATCAGTGGAAAAACATCAGGGTCAGTGAACTCCAAAGACAATGTGTACCGTAGTGCTCTTTGGTGTTGTATTCGGTGAATACGATGGCATGGACTGAGGAACATAAGGACAAACGAAGTCAGCTTTCTATGTGTGTGTCAGACTGAGGCGGCGGATACACAATCAAAAAGGAAGAACAACTGAGCAAATTCACCCTCCGCGAGTTCTGATTAGGACAAGATAGACAAACAAAGACTGGAGAATGCAGACCAGGGCTGAAAGGGACAGAGAGACACAGATCATAGACGTAATAGACGATACACAGAGAGACACAGACATGCAGGTACGGACAGACAAACAGTGAACAGATAGACACGGAGAGAGAAAATAGTAGGAGGAGCTCATAAGATGCACACATAGAGGTAGAAGAAGGGAAAGAAGGAGAAGAAGACGAGGAAGGAAAAGAGGAGAGTTGCATGCCCTGGCTGCAAACACGCTACACTAATGAATCCAAGAAGTCAACTGCCCAGATCCAAATGGCTCGGGCAACATTCTTAAAGTGCCATCTTGATGAGCGTAAATTGCCGTAATTACCAATCTTGGACGGGGAATGCTTAGTAAATACGGGTCATCAGCTCGCACTGAATTACACCCCTGCACTTTGTGCCCACCACCCGTGACTCCTACCGTATGAATGGTCCGGTGAAGTATCTGGGTCGTGGTGATTTAAGTGGTTTGTCCCTGGGGGTGTTGTGCGAAATTCATTGAACATTATCGAGTCAAATGAGAGGAGGAAAACACGAGGGAGAATAAGAAGAAAGAAGAGGAAGGGATAAGACAAAGAAATAAAAGGAGGAGGGAAAAACGAGGAGAAAGCTAAACAAAAACAGTCAAACAGAAAACAGACAGTTAGACAGATAGATGCATACAGATAAATGAAGGCAAATACCAAACAGGCTTATAGACACAGACGAAAAGACAGACACAGGAAGGAGAGAAAGAGGGCGCATGTATGAAGAGAGGCAGGAGGGACAAACTGAGAAAGAAGATAGAAAGGGAAAGAAAGAGAGAGACTGAGAAAAAAAAAAAAAAAAAACCCACTTACCATTGAAGAGGGTGCTGGTATTGGGTCACTGCACTCCGCAGTGTTGAATGTTTGGTGACTGGATCGCCAAAACTGGCAAATGCATAGTCTTAAAGGGACTTCTAAATTGCGCAGGTCTGGAATTTGCATCTCTAGTCTTCAGTGTGGACTTCGTGTGATTCTCAGTTTGTGACTGTGTGTGCATATGTGAAAGAGAAAGAGAGAGAGAGGCAGACAAACACAGACGAACAGAAACAAACAAACAAACAGACAGACAAACAAACAGACAGACAAACAGACAAACAGACAAACAGACAAACAAACTAACCAACGTGACACACACACTGATACAGTGATACACACAGATACACAGTGACACACAGAGACAAACACATACACACAGAGAGAAGTGAGACAGAGATGAGGGTGATGATGTCGCAAGGTACGTACTTGGTCTTGGCAATGGTCTGCATAGTCAACATAGGCATGTACTTCGGTTCCGCTGTTGACGCTAACTGGGTGCATGGTCAATTTGTAGCCTGACAATAGCTAAACGTAGTAGTCTGGGCGAAAGTTGGGCTATGAATAATTATATTGGTGACAGCGAGAGTGTGCTCTCACTTCAAGTTGCATTCAGATTCATAGCTTTGGTTCTCCGCTGATGGAATACCACTAGCGGTTAACTGCTTTCCGGGCAGCGTCGGACTACCTGGCTGTCAATGTGATTTTGCGATATCAAGTCCATTTATTTATTATTATTATTATTATTTATATTATTATTATTATTATTATTATTATTATTATTATTATTATTATTCTCCTAACCCTTAAGCAGCATTGGCCGCGGGGGGAAGGTCGATGGTCTGCTGCACGCTGGATTTGGGGTCGAAGTTTTGACAAGGGGCAGTTAATGAAGGCGATCCAGGGCGAGGGAGTGTGCAGAGGGGCGCGCGTACCAAAATGTTTGTTGCGCGTCATTAAACGAGAGAGCGCACTAACAGGGCCAGGCAGCGGCTGGCGTAGATGCGAGTGAATATCTTGAAGCGCCCGCCGTCGATAAACGACCGCTGTTTTTTTTTGTTTTTTTTTCGTCGTGTGGGTCGTGTCGTTTTGCGCTGACTTTTTTTTTCTTTTTCGTTCCCTTTGTGTCGTCCGTGTCGTTTTCCGACTTTTTTTTTTTTTTTTTGGTTGCTGGTATTTTTTTTTCTTTTTCGTCGTGTCATTTGCCGCTGGCTTTTTTTTTCTTTTTCGTTCCCCCCTCGTCGTCCGTGTCGTTTCCCAACTGTTTTTTTTTGTTTTTTGGTTCCCCACTTTCGACTCTCGTTTCTTTTATTCCCCTCACGTCTTGTGTCGTTTCTCGCCCGTTTTTTTTTTTCGTTCCCCGCTTTCGAGTCTGTGTCATTTCGTTTTCCGCCATTTTTTTTCCAGATTTTTTTTTCTCTCAGTTTAGGCGAAAGGCATTTGGGCGGGTGGGTGCACACCCCTGCCTGCCACCCGCCCGCCCGCCTACCACACACACACACACGCACACACACACACACAAATATTATTAATATTATATTATGAAGTTCGCTACTACTGGTTGTCGTTGGGGTTTGAACCCACGCACAAATTTGAGATACACAACTGTCTGCTATGATACCACTCAGGTGAGTTGGGTCCCTGTGTGGTTTTAGCGACTGTTTTTTTATGAAGTGTATCCGACGCCAGGGAGCTGGCAGGTCAGGATGTGCCTATGTGTCCAAACCCTACCGTTGCAAAGTGTGGCCGGCGGGTCCAGTCCCACAGTTTGCAAGTGCCAAATTTGGCAATTTTTCGCGCTCACAAGAATTAATAAAAAAATATGAAAATTTGAGATCGGGTAGATTAGGATGTGATCTTTCCAGGAAAAATATCAGAAAAATGAAAAAAAAAAACATTACATCATGAAATAAATGTCGTGTCGTTTC